ACCACACGTGTTGTGCTGTCAGCCTCCCACAGCCAGCACATTTCACTGAAACGCAGAACCTACGTAAGAAACCGCTGCACTTGCAAACATGTGACGGTTTTCTCGTAATTAGGCTGCTGACACGTCACGAATGCTGTGCCACACACATACACACAGATGGCAAAGGGCTCGCAGAAGGGTCGTACTGAGAATGAAAAAAAAACTTTTTTTAGCCTGAACATGGCTCAAAAGGAGGACCTTGTTATTCCGTTATGCTGGCAGCCTTCAGACAGATTCAGGCGTGTAAGATGCATTATTGTGAGGAGCTGGCTGATTCGCTATGATGTATATTACCTCAATACTGGGCTTGGTATCTTCTTCCCTCTCACATATCTGTAGATTCAAGGTCATCGGGTATAAATGACATAGGATGGCTAACGAACCAGAACTAGCAATTCCAATCTCACTTGTTTTTTTAGACAATATCACTCTAGATGTTTATACAGGTAGTGATCGATCTCGTGAAATATTAATGTGTGTGTAAACGCCTGCTGTACTCAGTTGACAGAAAAGCACAGCTTCAAATAGCATACGCCAAAGACGGGTATGTATGGGCTTTTAAACTTTCCCAATTCCCGACTAATATCGAACCCGATCCACTGTCGCCTTTGCGTATATTTATACATAAACAGACATTATAAGCAGGAACGCATTGTTAGCCAAGACAAGGGAGACTGAAACGGCCCTTTCTGGTTTATTAACCGTCATCAGCCAGCCATACCTAACCCCAGGGATAACGGCTTCTGGCATAGGAACACAAGAGAGTAATCAAGGTACTAATTTCAGAAAGAAATAATGGCAGGACATGGAGGTTAGTGACAGGTGCATGACCTTATATATATATATGTCTGTGAACTTGAAAATGCTTGAAGAAACAGTTTTTTCTGTTGCTGGCGTCTAACAAAGTATTCTACATTTGGACGACATCTGCGCCAACACGCGCTAACTGCAGTTTGTTCCCCATCTAGGTATCGTCGACCAAGTCACAGGTGCCAGATGCGATAACGTTTATTGTGGCCAAAATGCAAAACCTGTCTCAGGCAACGAGAAGACCTCTCCCAGGTGGCCACGCACACCTGAACAAAAATGTGCCAGGGAGAACATTCAGATTGTTAGCGCCTTCTCAATCAGACAAGACCGTGCATTTCTGGAGGCAATACACTCAAAGGATAAATTTTCTTTCATGTCGCAGATGAATGCACAGGACCGGTTGACAGGTTGACATTAAAGTTGGATCATGCACAATGAGACAAAACTCGACTAAGACAGTCCCTACGTTCATTTCGCCCACCAGTGTTAGGGGTTTATGGTAATCTGGTTAGCACTGTTGTTGTTTCAGCATAACAAGGGAAGCACTGATGTTTACAAATTTGATGAAAATACATTGTTAGCTTACCACGCCACTGCCTGTGACACGGAGTCCACCCAGTAGAATAAGTTTCGGCGGAGTGAATTCTATTGGTTCAGGCTCATTCCTGAAAAGTAAAAAAACGACTTAGTTAAGATTAAAGTAGGATTCGAAATAGTCCTTTGGACGTGGGGTTGTTTAAATGTTTTCGTTAGTCTGCTCTACATGATTCAAATCTGTGCTAGCTGCCAGGGCTCCCGTTAATAACGTGAGGCAGAAAATTGTTATTTTATGCCTAATCGTTGCAGACATAGAAACTAACACGCTCTCTGTAGTTGAGATGTCAGAGACCCAAGGGGCGAATATTCCGGTGACAAATGTTAGTTTGTCGGCTCAAGGCGTAGGCAAAAATTAAATTCCTGAATGAAGACCATGGGACTTGCTTAGGCCTCAAGTTTCAGAGGGTGCAGAAGACGCTAAGTACTGAATAGTCCTCCAAAAGACTATCGACAGACGTATCCGAACAACTTATTACCAGCTGAATTTTGCGTGAATTATTTGCTATTCAGCAAGGATTTTTAAACACGCAAACTACTGCACCGGCGGGACAATTCTGCTTAAAGAATAAGTCACAGGGAACTTGAAGCGTTTCCGAGAAAATTCCTATGCTCTATTGTCTGTACTCTTATTTGTGCTGCCTAAATTCGGTGGTTGAGTAACTTTGAGCCTAGGTCTTAAAAGTAAGAATCTCAGAGAAACAAAGGAATCGTCCGTATTATGCGCATAACAAAATGATTAAAACTCACTGAGGAGCCTGTGGCTGCGAGGGGGTCCAGTTCTTCTTCTGCTCAGAAGCTAAAAGAGCAACATATGTAGTGAAGAATATGATCAGGAAGGGTAGAAAAATGAATAATAAAGCTCTCGGTCATTGCTTATATCCATTTCTCGCGCACATTTGATTGTTATTAATAAGTGTCCACTTAAATAGGCTGTGCTATCCAAAAATAGCATCGATCACAGTTATGGGAATAGGGGTAAATTTTAGGAAGGCTCTAGCTGGTACAGTTTGTCAGACTGCCTCTAAGAGTGCTAAATATCCGCCGAGAATGATCAATTTCCCAGAGCTTCTTGAAGTGTACCAATTGTCGAGTCGGGTTTTCTGCATCTAAAGGCTAGGGACCTCAGACCTCAGGCAGTGTAACGGTGAATTATTTCGTTTATGAAGCTTCTATGCGTTAGTAGGCAATGCGTTATCTACTCATCTAACCTTATTAATTAAAAAAAGTTCCACTTGTTTGGATCCTAACAAACCGTGAGTATTCATTAACGAAGGAAGTGGGCAATAGGACTCGGCTCATTTCTATTCATTACTTAGTGGCAATGGGGCAACCGATGCTAGAGTACCAAATTGAAAACTACTCATCAGATGACAAGGGCATGAGACAGAACGTGTATGTGAAACCCTGCGCTAGAGACAGGAGGAAATAAAACCAGAGCTCAAATCAGCGCACAGTAGAGTGATGTCTGATTGATAAAGGCCTTGAAGTGGTTCTTTCGGAACATTAGACAGAGTAATCCAATTCCTAGTGTCTGTAGGAATGTCTCATTAACGTACATCATAGTCACTTAAAACATCGCATTCTGCGAACACTAGAAGCAAACAGCGCTGACGTCATTTGCCGATTATCAGTTCGTCACCTTCTTGAAACCCCCATAGATCTCCAAACTACCCCTCATTGCCTTTTGGAAGTGAGTTTCACGTGAACTGCTCCGAGATAATGGTGATGCGGTGTGGACCCGTTGCTGCTTTGTGCACCTGCAGATGTCTTGCTCGTATTATGATTTATGAGATCTGCTGGTTATCTTTTTTGCAGTGTTTGCGTAAACCAGGGAATTATGGGCATGAGTCAGATAAGAGAACCTAGTTCCATCGTCGCCACTATGAAGGGTTTCGCTAGAGCTAAAGGAGAAACGTGAACAAATTCTCAGGCAGAATTGAATTCAACTACATTTATGAGAGCACAAAAACCGAAAATTATACAAATTTCCCATAAGAAGTTTGCAACACATGACCAGACATAACGCGCTTGACCTTCTGCCAGAATTCACACAATGCTGGTTTTGGGAAAACATATGGTGGAAGTGTATGTAGAAATAATTTTTAAACGTTATTTTGCCTATGAGCTTTTAAGTAGTCGGTTATTTGCCTAAATATACCTTGATCCCAGAAATTGCCCCCTTTTCTTCTTGCTCTTCCGGGGATGATGAAAGCAACATTACAGCTGGACCTCAAATTTTGTGCAGCCAAGAATTGTATACGTCTTAAATGCCGTTTACTCACGTGACCCGAATTTCTCCGTTTTAGGTATCCTTTCTTTTGTTCAAGTAAATTGTTTTTATGCTAACCAAAAAATAGTATTTGCAATAATTATTTTGCGTTTTCATTTATTTTGCAGGTATCTATTATTACTTTGGCGGTTTTGTTGGTGAGTTTGCATTAATTTCAAATTGGGTAGTGATTTTTCATTAATTGTAACGTATTTAATGTGTTAGTTCACTCACTTTAAACACAAGCTCTGGTATACTGTACCCTTCCCGCCCCATGGGAATAAGTAAGCATGAGTCCTCAAAATACAGGCCGTTATAACTAGTAGGTAGATTTGGCAATGATGATGACTAAGCCTATTTTTTTGCTCCTATTTTTTGACTGTCCCTGTTAATTGACTACATATCGTAAGACCTAAGCGGTCCGTTGCCATGGCACGAAACAAGATGCGCTGTCTATAGGGTGTCATGCAGTTCTTGTCAAGCTACCTACAGCGTAGAAGTAGGCAAACGATGAGTGAGACACAGGAACGAACATGACAGTGCAGAAGAAGGAATAGATTCCTCGTCATTTGTAATGGGACGTATACATGCCCGTCGTTAATGCGGATGACAGCATTCGCCGAAGAAACGGCCGTATGGGTAGGGATTCACCACAAGCCTGGCATACCGACACTAAATTCCTCAATCATTACGTGAACCTGGTGACATATAACAGTATCAGCGTATTTACTACACGACGAAGATGGTAATATCTAGGGGGCAGAAGGCAGACAGTGAGGTGTAAACACGTGTTAGTACAAACGTGAAGAACAATTTCACTGCAGGGGCCAGCAACCGCCTATTGCACTGCTTTAAGACAAAAATGAATGGTTCACGCTAGAACAGCGGGGCCATCACTATTGTGACGCCAGCCCTCCCAATGCAGCAGAAGGATGGGCTTTGGTTTCAGAAACGCGGGCGGGGCCGGGGAACGCTGTCCAATGAAGTTCGGTGTCATTATACAATCCAAAAAGGTAAGAGTAATTGTTTTCGAAGCGCAAAAATGTACTCATGTCACACGGATGTGATTTTTTTCTCGTTCGTGTGCGGAAGTCCAATCTTTCACCTACATTGTGTTTGACTGTCGTTAACTGGGGCTACAAAAAGTGCACTTGTGATGAATGCCTATAAAACGCACGTCATGTACTTTCCTTTTTAGTTAGAAAAGTATTCTCCAACGGTGGGACGTGTTCGAGACCATAGAACGACCAGGACTTGACTGGGGACAATGCCTCCTTGCTGATAGGCAGGTTGGAAGCGCAGGTGTCATGTGGTGCTAGCCTCAGCGCAAAGCTGAAGGCCGTATCCGAGCTGGAGTCACTTTCCTCGCTCCTCTCTCCCATAGGCAGGTTCAGGTCAATTTGACTGAACGTGACATCGAGCGCGTTGGCTGGCGTGATGTCAAGTTGCCAGCTACTGCGTGTCGCACACTGACTGGATTTTCACACAAGTGAAGAGCGTCATAAATGCCATAATAATTGAAAAATCACCAAGTTTGAAAGTTTTTCCAGCGGAGTGAGCCGGCGCATCATGTGGCAAATTTCCAGATGCAGAATCTTAGGGTGTACAATAGTCAGAAAACTATGAGCTGAATTGTCATAAGAAAGATCATATCAGCTCCGATCTTCCTCTCTCCCCTGCTTCCTCTGTCACCTTACCAGCGTTTTCTCGCTTACGCACTAGAGGCCGCCCAGGCCTGTCGACCTACTGGTTGGCATGAAATTAACGTCCACCTGATGCTCGTTATACGTATGTATAACACAAACTTAGGCACAGTCCGGCACAAAACGGCACATCTAACGTTCGTAAGGGGGAACTTTAACCAACCATTTTAACCTAGCGCGATAGCGGCACGGTCAATTTATGTGGCATCTAATTTGCATCCGAGAGTTTGGCTGTTGCTGACATTCATATACACCGTGTGGCTCACAGCCAGGCAGGCACAGTGAAACTGCTCTGCGCGTGAATTGGTTGATACTGATGGTGGGATTGCACTGCATCTACTTCACGCCTTCCTTCCTAACGCACATAAGACCAGCGGCAAGACAGTCACTAAAGCCGGAGTTGGGATGGGGCGCAGTGGTTAACAAGGTTAAACAGCCCGTTTGCGCCTAACACAAACGCCGCACAGAAACTAGAAAGTAGTGGACTCGAATCCCGATTGGATGTGATTGTCCTCTAAGCTTGGCTCCCCATCCCGCGAGGACCGAGATATCCCATCTACTGGCAGCCTTCTAAGTCACGGCTGTTGACGCACCAAGATGATTGGGAAGTGCGTCAGATTGTATTATAGAGGAAAATGCGTTAATTACAGTGAGAACAAAGTCCTCAAAGTCAACCTCGCTCTCTGCTACTTCTCCTAGGGTGTTAACTATCCAGACCGATCGGCCATCTGGTGGGGGAATTGTGTGCGGGTGGCTGGCTGGCGGGAAGCGTATGTACATAGACGTGCCATCACACTCCCATGTTTGCGGTCCCAACGGCGCATTCTGTGCACTGATATGACCCCCATGTAGATCCAGTACATCTCCCTCAAAACATATACAATCGATCAGGCATCGTTGTCCTCATCAAAAACCAAGCCCTCCATTCCTTAGCGTTTCAACGCGCACATATATCTCAGCTTTTTTATTTCCTCAACAATTAATGTGCCAAAGTTGAGTAGTTCCTTGGGGTCAAAAGCCGGCGAAAATCTTGTCTGGGCTTTCAGCTTGCATCTCTGCTATCAGTCTGATGTACACAAAAATATGGCGAGTAAGATGAAATGGCCATCCGAGTTTTCAGCCGCGAGAATGGACTCCTAGAAAGGCAGGGGTTAGAAGCAGTGGGGACTTGGCAGATTCCGTATGCGTGACGCTATGAGTCTGGGAGCAAGCACATCATATATTTAGAGCGAAGGCAAAGAAGCAGCAATGAAGGCATCTGATATGCTGGCAAAGGCTGCCTACAAGCTGACAATGGGGACACATCGCTTACCTGTGGCGTCATTGTAGTCCAGATCCGCATAGTTTACCGGTCTCTCATTGAGAGGGTGGGACTTGTAAGCATTGCCATTGGTGTAACCTATACCGGATGGGCTGTTGATCGGAATGCTGGGTGACATAACTGGATAGGCAACCGTCTCCGACTGCCATGAGCCGCCATCTGAAGAGTCATTAGGTGACAAGAGACCAAAGGAAGCAAGCAAACATGGTGTAAGGAAGCAGGCATTGCAAAGCAATCAAGCTACATGCAAAAATGTGCATTTGAAGGCCTTCCAAGCAGCCGAGCTCGAGCATAAGCAAAGCTCTATTCATTCTTATTATCCTGACATATTCCGACAGTCGGATACAACAACATTTTACGCTAACTGAATTTGTGTGTTAGCTTCTGTGTACTTGTGAAGTCTGTCCAGTCTTAGAAAGCATCCAAGACAATTCAAAGAAGAATATTCTCAGATGATGTGTTATCTTCACGGTCAAATTACTTCAAACTTTGTTATCCAACTTCAAGGTGCCACACAAAATGTAAAGAAGGTAGGACTTGTACGACGCGGCTCGATCGCCACTTAACTTTTAATACAACTAGAAAAAGTAGCAGACAAATGCCAACTAGTTTTTTTTTTCACAGAAATAATTCTTGCGGATTATAACAAATAAGACTGCAGGTCCGTCCACAAGGCTCTCTCTCCTGTTTCTTGTGGGGCGCCTGATCAGAATTATAGCACCAAGTGCCTAACACATAATGGATGGGGTAAGTCTGATGTGAGTAATACCTGGCGACTGAACGTCCTTTGAACTTCTTCGTGAGTTTTTGTTTCGTACTTTGAATGCAGTTTGAGAGCTAGCTAAACTCATAAAAGATCAGATCGAAAGGTCAGCAAAACTTTCGGCGCCTATCCGAGTGTAGTTCATTTTTGGATATGGCTATTACTCGTCGGAAACCCTTCCTGGCACGTTCATTCAAAATAGACACTTGCAACTCTACAATAAAATGACCAATTTCTCGGAAATAGCAAAGAATTTGAAAAAGCCCATTCCAGTTTCCCTATCCTTGGCTGAAGAAACTTCGTGATGATTACTTATAGTCCCTATGTGACCGACTGTGTGATTTTTAGGGCAACTACCGAGCTACCGAAATTTCGACTGCTCTATTTGACTCTCCACACAAATCTCCTGTCTAGGAGTTATCGTTGGAAGTTTCCTGTCTCGAGTACAGTAGTGATAAATCGACTTAGAGTCAAATTCATCAGCTGCAGAAAAAACTATTTCATAAGAACACAAAATACTGATAGCTATTATTGCTCAAGGCTCCGTCTTTAGTGTTTGGAGGCGGATCAATCAGGGAGAGCGACACAAATGTACAATGGACATTCGCGAAGTTGTCACCCCTGCTGCACAACGGATATACCAATTTCACAGGACAATGCTTTTGTTCATAAAATTGAGTAACTTTTACTCTGACTCGCGCTTAACACTTGATCTCAGGTTCTCTTTACGTTGTAACTAGCCTTACAGCCTAGACTTTCACCTTACCTCAGAAAATGGATGAAAAAATCGATCCACCAACGACAAAAGCATGAAGATGCTGCGGAATGGTTCTCACATAAAAGAACATTGAAGCACACTCAGTAGCAATCTGGAGGACTGTTGAGTTTGACGAGGTCCGCGGTGTGCTCCGCAGCAAGGGGTGACGGACGCAGGGCGGTGGCTTGCTCATGGATTAGCTTTAGGCGATAGCAGACTTACGCTCCATCTACCACACTCCCTCTTCCATCGCCCACTTGTGGCTGGTGTCAAGACAGGGTCAAGAAGACTGAAGCCAGGATCATGCGCAGGCGGCTGGCGTGGAGTGAACCTGCACCTATGCGTTCCACCACGCCTCTCCATCCCATGTTTGACATTTTTTATGAAAGCGCAATCCGAATAACGCCTGCCACGCTCTGATCTGGCCCCCGTATTGGTCCAGTGCTTCTACCATGGGGCCCATTTAGGGGGCACGTGAGGTGATAACATCACTGCATAAAGTAGTAACTAAGCTCTGTGAGGGCAGAAGTAACACCCACTCAAAGAGCTCGCCCTCGCTATCTCTACATGACGTCACGAGGGTTATGGGCACAGTCATGGAATCAGTTTCTAAAGTGCCCACTTGACAAAAGGCTAAGCTAAAGTGAATTCTTTCAAACGAGAAAAAGTTTAGAAAGACAGAAAAGGAGAAGGAGTACACACGCGAGGTTGAAGAACAACTGACTGA